TTCCTTCATCTGGAAAATGGAAACAATTGGGGTTTGTTTTGTTTGTTTGTTTTTGAGACAGAGTCTCACGTTGTGACTCTCGGTAGAGTGCTGAGGCATCATAGCTCACAGCAACTTAAAACTCTTGGGCTCAAGTGATTCCCTTCTTTAGCCTCCCTAATAGTTGGTCCTACAGGTACCTGCCACAATGCCTGCCTGCCTGTTTTTTATTTTTTAGAGATGGGGGTCTTGCTTTTGCTCAGGCTGGTCTCAATTCCTAACCTCAAGCAATCTACCCATTTCAGCCTCTCAGAGTGCTAGGATTACAGGCATGAGCCACTGAGCCTGGTTCTGGAAAATGGAAATAATTTTGATTATACCTACCATGTCATGTTCTTTGGAAATCTAAACAATCTTCATAAAGCTCTTGGAACAGATTCTGGCCCAGAGGAAGCTTTCAGATTTCAGCAGTAGTATGAAATTTGTGGTATATGCATTTTTCCAGAAAAAAGAAACAGCAGCTTTGAGATTCTCAGGGAGCACACAGCTTTTTTTTTTTTTTGAGACAGAGTCTCAAGCTGTTTCCCTGGATAGAGTCCTGTGGCATCATAGCTCACAGCAGCCTCCAACTCGGGCTCAAGCGATTCTCTTGCTTCAGTTTTTCTATTTTTAGTAGAAACCGGGTCTTGCTTCTGCTCAGGCTAGTCTCAAACACATGAGCTCAAGCAATCCATCCTCTTTCCCCTCCAAAGCTAAGATTACAGGCGGGCTACTGCGCCTAACCAGCTTCCCCTCTCCCCCCAAGAGATGGGATCTTGCTGCACTAAGCTACCCAGGCTTGACATAAACTCTCACCTTTATGAATAAAATGAATCACTGTGGTGGGTGGTGGGGAGCCTTGGCAAGATTTTGAGTGGAGAAGGGCCTTGGCAAGGCCGTGCAGAGCTGGTGAGGACAGAATAGAAAGAGGTGGTGTGAAGGTCTGTGCAGAAGAGAACAGGCCTGGGCTATGTGGAACATGGTCAGGTGACAGGAGGGATCTGTTGGGGGAGATTTGGAAACAGGGACGGATGAACTTTGGTGACAAGGGTTGTCGAGAGTAGGGCACAGGGCCAGGGTTAGGGACAGCTGCTTCAAGCTAGGGTGGATGGAAGAGCCAGCCCTGACCACATAACTGAGGACGAGGCTATGGCAGTAGGGCTGGGACCCCACCTGCTTCTCTTACCAAGGAGGAGACTGTACTGAAGAGGGGCAGCTCCCAGTCTCCACACCAATCAGAGGCAGAGAGCTGAGCATGAGCCCCGCCTTCTTCAGATGCTATGTGGTAGTGGTAGAGGGGCTGAGGAGGTGCTCTTCTTGTGTACAGTGTCCTTAAGTAGTGGCACCCTATGCATGTCCTGTAGGTCAGTTTGTCCTGTGTAATGTATTGTGAACACTTCCTATATCACTGCCCAGTATCTCCGGGATAGCCCCATGTGCTGGGCATGCCTCTCTTGACAGATGCTTCAGTTTCTTCTTTGTGAGTCTGATATTTTTTACATGTGTGTCTTGGGTAAATCTTGAGGTTACTGATCCTCCACAGCTCTCCCAGCAGAGCAGGCACATCTGGGGCCTATGTCAGGCTGTGCTTGTTCATTCTCTGCCCCAGCTCTCAGGCCAGGCCCTTCATTTCTTCCCCAGGCCCCAGAGCCTCTGAGCTCCCTGAAGTCCATGGCAGAGCGGGCAGCCATCAGCTCTGGCATCGAGGACCCTGTGCCAACGTTGCACCTGACGGAGCGAGGTGAGGATCCTGGGCTGCTGGGGAGGGGTGGGGTGAAGAGGAAGGGCTTGCCCCGTCCCTTCCTTACCACCAAAGGGACCGGGCTCTGCTGCTCCCCTAGACATCATCCTAAGCAGCACGTCAGCACCTCCAGCCTCGGCCCAGCCGCCTCTGCAGCTGTCGGAGGTGAACATACCACTGTCGTTGGGCGTGTGTCCCCTGGGCCCTGTACCCCTCACCAAGGAGCAGCTCTACCAGCAGGCCATGGAGGAGGCCGCCTGGCACCACATGCCCCACCCCTCTGACTCCGAGCGGATACGGTGAGGGCTGCAGAAAGGGGGATGTAGGCCAGCACGACTGAGTCTCAGGGCAAAGGCTGGTTTAAGTCAGGCTCCTGGGTCCTGAAAGACCATAGGTAGAGTATTGGCCCCATAAAATACTGGGCCTGTCTGGGGTGCTCCCATGGGAGGCAGGATGGGGGTCTGAGCACCCTCTTGAGGTCAGGGCAGGAGCTGGCAGGTGGTGCTGACCTCCTATTGCCCCACAGGCAGTACCTGCCCCGGAACCCTTGTCCGACGCCTCCCTACCACCACCAGATGCCGCCCCCACACTCAGATACTGTGGAGTTCTATCAGCGCCTGTCAACCGAGACGCTCTTCTTCATCTTCTACTATCTGGAGGTACAGCAGGGCCCCCGGGGCAGCCTCGGGCCCCCCGGCTTCGCCGCCACCGCCGCAGTCCCCCCTCGGGCTGGAGGGGTGAGGTGGGTGTCCCACTGCGGCCACTGGGACCGCACCCTCTCCCTATCCCCAGTCCTGCCCCCCATCCCAACACCCTGCCCCCATTTCCAGCCCAGAGGTATTAGAACTGCTCAGGTTGAGGGCAAGGCTGGTCCAGGAGGTAGCCCCAGCGCCACTTCCATTTATCACTGGCGAGGCCCACAACCCCTTCCCCAGCTTTACTCCCCAGGCTCCTCCAGTCTCAGCTGCCCTTCCACTCTGTCCATGGGCACATTCTCAGGCCTCCCTGGAGACTACTAGGGAGCTGCCAACCTTCTGACCCCAGTCATGAGTGATCTCCACCCTCATACCCCACCTGAGAAATCTTCTCAGTTGCCTCTTTTCTCAGTTCTCCTCACATTAGTTTCTCTTCTCAAAGCTTCTCTGAAAGCAATTTCTACTCCTGTCTCATTTTCCTTCTGAGCAGCTTTGGTATGTTCTGTCCCCCCAGCCCTGTCTCCAAGTGGACTGTCCAGCCTGACTGGTCTGTGGCGGGGGCCCGGGTTCAGCCCTGATACCCTGCCCTGTCCCCCCAGCTCCCCACCTGGTTTGGGGGCCCCCTGATGCCCCTCTCCACCCTTCCACTCCCCCAGGGCACTAAGGCACAGTACCTGGCAGCCAAGGCCCTGAAGAAGCAGTCATGGCGATTCCACACAAAGTACATGATGTGGTTCCAGAGGCATGAGGAGCCCAAGACCATCACAGATGAGTTCGAGCAGGTGAGGGACCCACCCCCTCTGGTCCCACTGGTTGGGTCAGGATAGAGACCCAGAACTCCAGGCAGCCTCTGCTGGCCTCTGCCCCGTCACCTCCACCCTTCAGCCAGTTCAGTCCTAGGCTGTTCACTGTCTGGAACACTGTCCTCGTGTTCTGTTTGGCCCCTAGTCCTCCTTTAGCCCAAATGTCCCTTCCTCAGAGAAGCCCTCCTGGCCCCATGCAGTTTGGTACCCCCACTTTGTGGTGCTCAGTGTCTTCACTTGGGTGTGCCATCTTTTCTTGCTGGCTTGTCTCCCTGTGGGCTCTACTGCATAGGGACTTTGGTAGCCCTGCACTTCCATGTCCCAGCACCCAGCAGGGCAGGGGCCTGGCATATACTGAGTGGGGAAGCTCAATTTTTAAGTGGCCTTCGCATAGTCTAATAATTAACTTAGAAACTTCTTACAAATATTCTGGAGCCACCCTACTTGAGTTTGAGCCAAGCTCTAGCTGGGTGACCCTGGCAAGTCACCTGAACCTTTTTGTGTCAGTGTCCTTATCTGTAAAAATGGGGGTGAGAGGACCATATCCAGTTGTCATGAAGATTAAATGAGTTAATGGTGTGTAAGTACATGATGGTGCCTGCTGAAAAGTAAGCGTCACTGGCTTATGTTTTCTTTTCTCAAATTACTTCCAGTTGGTGTGTTCCACAGTGGCTTTTTCCCACTAAATGTTTCCCTGATGCCAGGCCCCCTCATGGGATGAAGCATTACAAGGGCCTTGTCCTCAGAGAACTCAGTCCCCCCTTCCTCCCTACCTCCCCAGTTCTCCCAGGCTGCCCTTCTTTGAATAAGCATTTCAGACTTGTTCGGAACCTAGCTCCTCTCCCTCCATGTCCCCAGACATTAACAACAGACTTTTCCTGTCCCAAACTATCCTTTAGTTATTCATGTCAGAGCATCCAGTCTTTCATAAATTTCCACATCACTACTGTCACCAATAAAATGTCCCTATAGAGTGCTTGGATTAGACTCTGAGCCTGTTCCATTCTCTAGGAAGAGGGTGACAATACCCACTGCCTCAAGGTTTTGTGAAGACTAAATGCTAGGCCCTGCATACTGTCCTCAGCATGGGCATGAGAATATCCTATGCTCAAACCTGCAGCCACCAAGAAGCAGTGGGGTGCTGTGCAGATACCTGGGGCCTGCCCTGGCACCTGGCCTTGGGCATAATCTCTGCAGCTCCCTCATTTCCTCCTCTCTAAAGCGGGCATGATGGCGTCTGCTACCTGAGAAGAGCGCTGTGAGGGTGGAGAGACCGTGTGTGTGGAGGGCAGTCGGCCCAGTGCCTGGCACGTCCACGACCTTAAGAACTGTCCCCTTTGTCTGTTGGTCCGGCCCAGATCCCAGACCACCTCCTCGTCCACTCACTGACCGCCTTCTCCCCTGGCCAGGGCACCTACATCTACTTTGACTACGAGAAGTGGGGCCAGCGGAAGAAGGAAGGCTTCACCTTTGAGTATCGCTACCTGGAGGACCGGGACCTCCAGTGACACCAGCCCCTCCCTTCACCCAACCCCTCCCCCCGCATGCTGATCCCCCTGCCCAGGTGAGGGCCCTGCCCTGGAAGACTGGGGGAAGCTCCAGACCATGGGGCATCCTCCTCTCCCAGGAAGCAGGGAAGGGGCCAGGAGGCTTTCTCTTCCTCTCAGCCCCACCCTGGGGGCCAGGGGGCGAGGGCTGCCCCCTCCTCCCCTCCCCAGTGAGGGACATTTTTTGGTAAACCTATTTTCATTTTGGAAAATATTTATGAATAAATAGTTTTATATGACGGCTGGCAGCAGCGGCCTCTCCTGTACCCCCTTAGGAGTCAGTGAGCAAGGTGGTCCTATCGTCTGGGGCGCCGGGCCAGCTGGGGGTTGAACTGGGAGTTATACCGCCGCCTCCGGTCATCTGTCTCTTCCTCCTCCAGCTGACCCTCATGTGCTTGGCCTTGGATCCGGGCCAAGAGGGCTTCTGCCCGAGCCCTCTCAGCTCTTTCCCTCCGAAGACGTTCAGCTCGAAGCTGGTCCAGGGATGGGGTTCTGTGGGGAATGGAATCAGGTCAGAAAGCTGGTGGTTCCCAGGAGGACTTTCCCCTGTAGGAAGCAGCCCCTGGACCCCCCTGCTGCATCTGATTCACTCCCAACCTAAGCTCTTAAGGCCTGCTGAAAGGAAGCCATTGGGTGCTGGGACACCATGGGCCTTCCCTTCTGTAGGCTTCTGTCTGTCCTAGTCTTTAAAGTGAGGTGCCCCGAGAGATGAAGCAGCAACCCGAGTTTCTCCTTCTGTAGAAGAAAGGATGCTGGCATCAGTGTACACCCTCTACACTAAGGAGTATAGTCTAGGGATGGAAACCTGCTTTTACTCTCTAACCCTCATGGTCTTAACTCTTTGGTCTTAAAAGTCTCTTAAAACTTGAGGACCTCTTGGGTGGTGCCTATAGCTCAGTGGGTTGGGTGCTGGCCACATACACTGAGGCTGGCGGGTTCAAACCCAGCCTGGGCCAGCTAAAACTCAACAATGACAACTGCAACAACAAAAAAAATGGCCCGGTGTTATAGGAGGCGCCTGTAGTCCCAGCTACTTGAAAGGCTGAGGCAAGAGAATCGCTTAAGCCCAAGAGTTGGAGGTTGCTGTGAGCTTTGACACCACAGTACTCTACCGAGGGCAACATAATAAAACTCTGCCTCAAAAAAAAAAAAAAGAAATTGAGGACTCATCCCAAAGAACTTTGGTTTAAATAGGTTATTTCTTTTAACATAACAGCAAATTAGAAAGGAAAATGGAGGAAACCTGGACACAGGCATCTGCCCCTAGCACCTACACTACACACTTGAGAATGACCATGAGAAAGGCAAACGGTGTTAGGGAAACAGGCTCAACTCTGCGGACCCCCTTCCCACCATTTGGGCTCTGGCTGAGCTCCTGCTTGTCCTGACCACAGCTGCTATAGGACACAGACTGGGCTGCAGCCTTGGTCTGCTCTGGGGCTGGGTCTTTCTTACTCCTTGGGCCGCTGTTTCTCAGGCCCCTCCTTTTTGTTTCTGTTGTGAATGCCTTCATCACCATCGCGCCTTCTCTTCCCCAAATGCTTCTGCATCTCCCGCAGAGGGTCCAGACGACTCTTGACCTTCTCATCTGGGCTTGGGCCAGGTGAGAGGCCTCCCCGTCCTGGAGGGAGCTGGTACCAAGGGGGTTGTGTTTGGGCCTCTGCTGCACTCTGGCCCAGGTACGTCAGGATGCCCAGAGCTTTCTCTTGCCTTTCCTAAGGAAGCCGGAAAGTACAGGATATAATCACTTGAGTGTATCAAGCGTGTCTCTTAAGAGAGCCCTCAATGTGACATGAGTGAAACCTGGGGTGCTCGACCTGAGACCCTCTGGTCCTGGGGAGAGTTGAACCAGTCATTCAACAAACTGGCATCAAAGGCCTGTCATGAACCAACTATGCCAGGGGCTGGGGGCAGTGGCAGACCAGGGCAGGAAGAGTCCTGCCCTGGGGAGACAATAGCAGGTGTTGTAATAGCAAGCACAGGAGAGAGAGGATAGGGTGGTTCAAGTTACAGATACTTGAAGAAAAACCTGAAGTAAGCCAAGCAGGAGTGACTTGGATGGTAAGCCAAGCAGGATGACATGGGGGTGGTAAGTTCAGAGTTTAATGGGAAATGCCAGAGTGCAAGTGAGTGGCAGTATCTGATTTACACAACTTCACACTTCTCAAATCCCATAGAGTTTTGACATTAAGTTGGAGATTCCTCCAACTGGAAGACCTGAAAGATCTACCTAAGCAGTCTCAGAGATGGAGCCCTCCAACAGCCGTTCCTAGGCCCTGTGGGTGCCCAGATGGCAGTAACCAACACTTGAATGCTGTGTTCAGTGCTGTTTTAAGTATTTTTCTATAGCACCCTCTAGATCCCTATACTCCTTAGTCAAACCTCAATACTTTAAAGTACCCCTTCCTACCCCCCTCAGCTCTTATTCATGACTTCTGATGAAGTGGATAATGCCAACTTACTTTCTCCTGTCGCTTTTCTTCCTCATACTCTTTATTGCCTCCGGTCACCCCTTTCCCTTCCTCCAGAAGCTCCCGAAACAAGTCCACAGGGCCAGAACTTGAGGCTCCTGCTTCAAGCTCAGGCAGTGAATTCTGATGTCTAGCTTTCTTCCGTAGAAATTCTGTGCGGGCCTGAAGGAAAGAAAATTATGGGCAGGTCATACAGAACCTACAGGTAATTCAAGGAACTCTAAATCTGGTGCTGACCACAGAAAATAGGAGTCCATGGTGCCTGGGGCTATAAGAAAGGGTTACACTGGGCATTGTGGTAGCCAAGTCATCTCCCCTATCCTGGGGTGGGAGTGGGCTCCTGAAGCAACACCTGGGTTTTGTAAACTGCCTTTCAAACAGTAAACCATGGGTCATCAAGGATGGCTGGGAGGAGATCCCTGGCCTACACCAGGAGATTCCAGCATCGAGTGACAAAAGACAGCTACAGAGGCCAAGTAACATGGATTCCATGCTCTAAGTCACTACCCAACCTGATTAGCAATTTCTACTGATAATGTGAATTTTAGAAGCCTGGATTAACTCTCAGCTGCTGTTGAGGATCAGATTAGCTAAGGGACTTAAAGTTAGAAATTCCCTGGCGTTTGTCTGGGGGGGTCAGGGCAAGGAAAGGGCTCGCCTGATGATGTGGAACCGAGTTGGTCCCACTCTCATTTCCTCCCTGTGCCTTCCTCTCGCTTATCCGTTCAAGCAGATGACAGCCCCTCTAAGAACGAAGGGCTGTTATGAGGGATTTCGCTGTGCACAAAGTGAGTATATAATAGGTGCTCAATAAATAGGTTATGCAGGCAAACTAAAAAGCGATCATGTTCTTGAACCAGCCTAAGGTTCATTTATTAATTTATGAACGTTTATTAAGTTCCTTCTCTGTGCCAAACATTGCTCTGGGTCATTTGAAATATATCACCGGGTAAAATCAAGACAAGGGGCTCGGGACCTGCAGCTCAGTGAGCAGGGCGCCAGCCACATACCCAGAGGCTGGCGGGTACAAGCCTGGCCAGGTCCTGAAAAACAACAATGACAACTGCAACCAAAAAATAGCCGGGCGTCGTGGCAGGCGCCTGTAGTC